TTCTTATTAACATTTCCCCTCTTCTGAAGGATCCAAAATAACCAGCACCACCCAATTTTCCCCCTCCCAACACTCACAACTTTCCATGATTGTTTGATCTGTTACGATATACTGTAACCATCTTCACTCATCACGAAAGGGAGAGCAGTGGAGGTCTCTTTGATTTGGATTCCATTTATTTTATTTCATTTTATTTTATTTTATTCTCTTCCCTTCTCCTCTCTTAATTCTTTTGACCATACGAGGTGAGACAAGATGCTTCTTTAAATTCCCTCTACACACACATACATCCATACATACATACACACACGCACACACGTAAAAGTCATTATTAGTAGTATAATAATTATTACTATTATACACTTTTACAACAACCCCAGCCTTTCTTTTGGACACGATTGATTAAGCTTGGAGCTTTCGCTTTCGCAATCAACTCAAACCACCACCACATACATCACAATTTCACTTCTTTAGTTACTGCAATTGTGCATGACATTGCATGTATGCTAACCACATTCCTTTTCCATTTAGAATTTTATCTTCGACTTGGGACCAGTTCCTCATTGAACCCCAGATTATTCGCGAATCCTCCAGCCTTGACACCACCACGCACATATTGGGCGCGATTTGAGAAGATCATAGGAAGGGTGTGTTTTGGAGATTTTCCATTTGTGTGGTATGTATTGAGCCATGTCCCCTCCATCTCTCTCTTCCCCAGCTATGATTTTCTATCACTCACTCAGCCATCGATTGCATGCATGGTTGACGAAGTGCTTTGCGCATTTATTGTGCGTTGTGTAACCAAAAGCCGAATCACACTCACATTACCTACCTACCTACCTCCAACATTCACCTTCAAATCTTATATTCACATGGATTGGGTTACTAATTTATTTTCTCTTCAGATATCTCTTCGAATAAATCATACACATACCACGACAAAATTCAAGAGAATTGAGATACACATCTGATCATCAGTTGTTGAATATGGTACAACAAGGAAAAAAGGGCAACGACCTTCCCAACGGCGGCACAAAGTACCGAGAGCAATCAGGAAACATGACGTCGCAAAGAAAAGATATGGGAGATGCTCGAGGAAATGGTAATGGAAAGGTTGATGGCAGATCGCAAAATGGTTGGTCCTTCTACATTGTGTCAATGACATCACAAATGCTAACCTTCGCAGGTAACTCGAGCTTTTTCCGTACAGACACTGCGATTTCTGGCAACCGAAACCAAGGAGAGCGTGTGTTGCAAAGATGGGTTCCTGACAAGCCCGCCGATAATGATGGTGGCTTGGAATCAGGTCGAGGAGGAAGAGTGGCTCCTTGGGATCAATTCGCAGAGAATGAGCGACGATTTGGCTTGAAGACAGACTACGATGAGAATATCTACACAACCCAGATCAACACAAGTCATCCGCAGTATTCGCAGAGAGTCGCCGAGGCAGATAGAAAGGCAAGAGAGATTGAACGCAGCACGGCAATGAACTCTCATGTTGCAGAAGAACGTATTGCGGACCACACCGGACCAAATGAGAATGGATTGGATGAAGAAGACAAGTGAGTTTCTTAGATTCTGTCCCTTGCATATAATTGCTAACATATTGGCAGATACAGTGGCGTTCGCAGACAACAGGATTTCCCACCCCTCACCGCATCGAAGGGTGCATATCAACCACCTGGAAAGCGTGCTCCAGTTGACCGCGCACCCGCAGCTGCCCCAGTTGTTACTCCAGTTGCTGCTCCCGTTGCTGCTCCAGTAACAGCTCCGGTTACAGCTCCAGCTCCGGTTACAGCTCCAGCTCCGGTTACAGCTCCAGCTCCAGTTACGGCCCCAGTTGCTGCTCCGGCAGATCGTACTCTCGTCGACTCAGCCATCATGTTTGCAGGAGCCAAGGCCGATAAACCCGCAGATAAACCCGCAGATAAACCCGCCGAGAAGGCAAAACCAGCTTCAGCCGCGAAGTCAACAAAGCCAGAGGTCGCAACTCCACCTGCTACCACGGATTCGAGTACCACTCCCACTCCAGAGCTCAAAAAGACTGTGGCTCCTGCTGCAAGCCGCACAATTCCCCCACCAGTCAAACATATGGGTGGGCCAAATGCTACTGCGACTGTTGAGGCTGATGTTTCCAAGGCTTTCAAGACCTTTGCTGCAACTCAAAGGAACAATGTTTCGCAAATTCGCGCCAACAAGATCAAGAATGATAAGCAAATCAAGTTGAATGACCTCAAGAAATTTGCCAATGACTTCAAGTTGCATACTCCAGTTCCATCGGACCTCGTCCCTATCATTGCTAAGGATCCAGCAAAGCAAAAGGCGATCCAAGAGAAAGCACAACGCAATGCTGAAGAAGCAAAGCTCAATCCTACTGATTCGGTAAAGCCAATTACACCAGGTGCAGACGGAGTTTCTGCACAACGTTCCGCTACTACCACCTCTACTCATACTATATCGCCACCGCCCGTTACGTCTGGTCGCCAAGCCGTCAATCGTGGACCTTATCCTCAAGGTTCTCACAGCTTCACACAAAATTCTCGAGGTGACAGACCTGTTCCAGCACAGCAGACCATGCCCCGAAGTGGCACCGCTGGACACTTGGCCCAGCGATTAAGAAATATCGAACAAAATAGACCAGCTCAAGTTCCATCCAATGTCATGCCAGCCCACGAAGCCAAACTTCCTCCTACTGGTCCTTCGAACACTGCCGATCCAAATTTCTCCCGTCGTTCAAGTGGCGTGGCGAGTGCACAAGGTGGCCCGAGATTGAATGCGAGCGTCAGCGAATTTCGGCCCAATGCATTCGCAAAGGACTTTAGTCCCGCTGGTCCAAGCAGTGGCTCAAGTCCTCGCTCAGCAGCCAATGCTCCAGAAGCTTCAACAACACCGGTCGCACGTTCCTTGATTCGCCGTAAACCAATGGCTAAGAGCGCGCGTCCTTCACTCAAAGGCAAATATGATGCAATGGAGCTCATCAAGAGTCTTAAGCCAGGAGAGGGGAAGAACTGGCTAGCAAATGGTGGTTTGAAGCCAGCTTATGATACTCACTTGCTATGGAAACTCACTGCTAGTGATGCACCAACGGAGTCTTATATACAAGTCTTTGAAAAGGCACCATTCCCTACTACCACACCCGTTGTATCGGAGCCACACCCACCACAAGCAGCTCCACAAGTACCACACCAACATCAATTGCCATTCCATCTTCAATCTGGCGTTCACAACATGAATGCTAGACAATCCCCACGTCAACCACCTATCAATATGCATGGAGCTCAGATGGGTCATCCTGCCCCAACATTCAATGCTGATGAGTTACGTATGATGCCATCGCATTCTGCACAATCCTTTTCGTCACCAAGAATGCAACAGCTTCCAATGGCAGCCTTCCATTCTCCCATGGGGGGAAATGCTCAATTGGCTTACAACCCACAAATGGTCTCTTACCCTGGGGCACCTCAAATGCCACCATTCAGATCCCTTTCTCAAACTCATCAATTTATGCCACAACAAGGTCATATGGGTCAACCAATTATGATGGCTAACCCTGCAGGTGGATTCATTCCTCCACAAACAATGGGACCTGGTCCTCAAATGATGTACCCACCCGGACAAGGTCAATTCATGCCACCGAATAACGGGCATCCTCCAGCTATGCCAAATGGCGGTTACCCAAGTCCTGGCCGAGGTGCTCCAATGATGATGAATCAAGGTTCTCAACAAGGTCACCCACAACCTATGTATGGTATGAGCCCAGTCCCTCAATATGGAACACCCGTTTTCCCTCAACCAATCCCAAATCAGAGTAAGTTTAGAAGTTCAAGAAATCTTTCAACATATTCTAATACATCAATAGTGCCAATGCGAGGTGGTGCTTATGGAGCACCTAACCAATACGCTACAAGCCCTCAGAATCTTCAGGGGGGTCCAAGAAATCAATATAACCCAGATTTCAATGGCAGTAAACAAAATTTCCGACACAACCAACACCCACATGGCCCACCCAACAACCAAGTCCCTACTGGCCCTCAAGCTCAAACCAATCCTGGAGCCGATGAGAGTAAATGAGCGAAATTGCTCTGACTTTGGAAAAATATATTCATCACGTCGATGCTTTAGCATCATGCATTTTGACAATATGGAGGAGAACAGCATCAAGTCTATGATCTTTATTTGTCGCATCTTTATAGTGATTGCATCAGTATAGTTCATTAGACCTTATTTGGATCATTGGCATCAATAATCCAGAGATCGAAGCAGTTGGATCCATCCCACCGGTTTGATCTCAAAATCAATGGTGGTTCATTGATACAAATTTATTTTTTGCTTAGCTGTGTAGTATGGACAATTATATACTGCCTTTGAGATGTATATCTGATGATTGTATCAGAAGATTTGGCCAAATGGATGATGGATTCGACTGCTATTAAGTTTATTGGACAACTCACAATCCAACTGTACAGTGGGGTGGAAGGAAGGGAACCATCTGCGTGGAATGTTTTTATCTTCAATGAAATAATCATTCATTAAGCATTTGGTGAGCTGGCCAGAATAGCAGATGCGATGCAGGATTCCATCTTATGAGAGATGGCTTGATGAAAATGTATACATGGAGATATGATGGAAGGAATGAATGAATTATAAAGATTTTTTTTTGCTGATGGGGTAGTGGATTATACTTTTCTACTGCCATTGTGGTTATGTATCTTACATAGCTTTAGATTTATATGCATAAACACCATTCCATCACCATTTTGAGTTTTCGATATGATTGATTTGATGCGATGTGAGGCGATGTGCTGAGTTGAATGGTGTTTTCGATTTTAATCACAATCTCAGCGACTTCCCAAGCAAACCTCACCCATCTATGCCATGCACCTTTTCATTCTGCCCTCTCCGAACCTGGTTTACTATACGATGATTGATATATACAAAGAATTGGTAATTTTATAAATCAAGAAACGAAACAGGAGAACAATTATTCTTCTACATCATTATCATTCTTCCGCATCACCATCACCATCACCATCTTCCACACCCGCATCCGACTCCGACTCGGAATCAGAATTGATAGGTGGATCGAGACCGGCGGCTTCTTCGCTTGGCAGTTGACGCGGAAACCAGCCGTAGGTGGAGAGGGAGATGTGGTGGGTGTTTACTATTTTGGGAGGAGGGAGGGGGTTAGTTAGTTGGGAAGAGGGGAGAAGGGGAGAAGGGGAGAAGGGGAGAAGGGGAGAGAGAGGGGAGACATACAAGCATCAGTCGTCACTTCGACCCCTTCACTACGTAGAATTGCGGCTTGGTTTTGGGCGCCCGAGGGGTGACTGCTTTTCGGGGGTTAGTTTGGAGTTTGGAGTTTGGAGTTTGGAGTTTGGAGTTTGGAGTTTGGAGAGAGATGAGGGAGATGAGGGAGATGAGGGAGATGAGGGAGATGAGGGAGATGAGGGGAAGTACAAAAATACATACCGTGGACTTATCCCCCCTTTTGCATTAATCACTCGCTGCCAGGGTACGTTTCCGTTGTGGAAGAGGGGATTAGACGTGGTACTCGATGTAGATGTAGAAGAAGAGGCAGAAGCAGAAACAGAACTAGGAAGATGCTTAAGACAAATTCCTACTTGGCGGGGACGATTGGCTGGGTGGGAGGAGAGGGGTTAGTTGTTAGTCATATGTTTGAAGGATTTGTTTGAAGGATTTGTTTGAAGGGAAAAGAAAGAAAAACTCACGTGTTCCTATCAGTCGCGCGATATGTCCGTATGTCGTTACTTTTCCGTGGGGAATTTCTTGGATGGCAAGGTAGACTGAGTGGTAGAAGGTGGTTGCTTCGTCGGTGCGGGGCATCGTTTGGGGTTGTGGTGTGTTGTGTTGTTTCCGCTGGGTTTATTGGTATGGGCACCTACGGGTTTTATCGATGGGGGGGGGGGGGGGGGGGTTTGGTTTATTGTTTGGTGAGGGATTGGGTTGGTGAGTTGGGTTGATGGATTGGGAGGATGGATTGGGTGTGGGTGTGGGTGTGGGTGGGATAGATATGGATATGAATATGGATATGGATATAAAATCAGTCTTTACTAATTAATACGTGATTAATGAAATGAGGGGTTCATGTCATTGGTGTCATTGGTGTCGAAGTATGCAGGGTATAGCTTGGCGCAGCTCACCGGGAGCGGGAATAGATGTATAGGTAGACAGGTTGCTGGGTAAGTATGTTTTGGTATAAGGGTATTATCTAGTGATGATCTTTTGTTATTTGAGGGGAATGGGATTTATGGATTATGGATTATGGATTATGGATTGAGTTTAGAGTTTGGAGTTGGGGCATTTAATTCTTATTTTTTATTTTATTTGTATACTCGAGTGTTTAGATTTCGATTCTGATTCTGATAATGAAGAATGTTTACTTTGGTTGATATATATGTATATGCCTCAGGTATATATACTTCTGCTTACAAATGCGTGCGGGTAAACTCATATTCATGACAACATTAAAAAGGGAAGCAAATGCGGAGTTAACCTTACCTAATACCTACGTGCTACCCTACCCAGGCGAGCCAGGTCAGGTATTTTTAGATTTGAGATTAAATTAATCATACAACACAACATCGTTCAACTATCCATGAACCAACTAAAAAGTATTTATACACACAAATTTGCACGTCTTCTCCTGAAATGCTTTTCTTGCGATCACCTACTATGTTTCTCCAAAAATGGATATTCCATCGTGCTCATTATGTGATAGTCTAACTCTGCCAGCTCTGGAATGCGAATCTTCTATGCTTCAGAAAATTCGTGAGAAGTTCTTTCATGAACCATGCGCAACATGCGACTCGGAAGAAGACCAAACTCTTCAGATTTGTGAAGTTTGCAGGCATCTTCGTTTACAACATTTGGTTTCTTGTAGTCACTCTTGGTTTGCGAGTGACAATCGCAGTCATTTCACCAAAGCTCTAGAGGACATTCAGCATGCGGGGAAGGAACTATATGGATATTAGTTGGGGAGAAATGATAGGGGTAGATTCTCCAAAATTACAGAGAATATTCAACAGGTGGTGAGGAAATTGCATGAGGAAGGATGGTCATCGGATATCGCCATCGAAATCGGATTAGGCATGGTTAATGAACTGAAGGGTCGGTCGAACTGTAAGCTTTGCTCTGAAATTATGGAATTCTTTGATTTTCGATGGAAAAATAAAGATTTTACTGAGGATTCGTTGGACAAGTATGTTGTCACTGCCACCAAAACTTCACAGAGAAAGGGGTTTTCTATCGATGTGAAGCTTGAAGATAGCTACACGGTCCAGATCTACTCGAGGATTTGACTTTACGCCATCCCAATTGTCCCATGCAAGGCAGACTGATCCTGTCAGATCTATGTCCCGGAAGCCAATTAATTGGGATCAAATTGAGGGGTGGATTGAAGAATACGACAGCAAATTCAACCACCTCATACCTGAACGCTTCTTTGTCCTTCCGAAACAGTTTCGTGTTATAGATGTTGAAAAAGACAAGGTTATTTTAGCACCTGATCACTGTGACTTTGTCGCGCTGAGTTATGTATGGGGGGAGATAACCAGCGACCTGATGCTGTGTGTCAGCAACGTTCAGCAGCTTGCCAAAGATTTTTCTATCTCTAGAATAGATATTCCAGCAACTATCAAAGATGCCATGATAGCCTGTGCAATGATTGGCAAAAGATATCTTTGGGTCGACCGCCTCTGTATTGTGCAGGATGAGAGTGATGACATCAAACTGGCTCAGATAGAGAGAATGGGTGATATCTACTCATCTGCATTCTTGACCATAGTAGGAGCGTGTGGGAACGACGCAAGAAGTGGCCTAGCAGGGATTGATGGCAAGACCCGGACCACAGCACCCTGGGTCATCTCTTTGCACAAAATAGTTTTAGTAGAAGCTGTGTTTCATCCATTCCGTGGAGAACCGGAGGCAATTCCAAAATGGTACACCAGAGCGTGGACTTTCCAAGAGCTTGTTCTCAGCTCTAGATTACTTATATTCACAGAATTCGGAGTATATTACATGCGCAACCCAAAAGATAAGTTCAACGGTAATGATGAGAGTACTTTTGAATTTCTATCTAACGGTTTTTTGAGTCTTGAAATATACGAATTTGAAGCTCGCAATATCCACAGGTTAATAGAGACATATTCAAAACGGTACTTGACCTATGATGCAGATAGAATCCAAGCGTTCTCAGGGATTTTTAATCATCTTGGAATTCGTCATCAATCAGGAATGTCTTGGAATGAATTCGATGAAAATATTTTTTGGCGGCCGTGTTTGTGGAAGCAAGCTAGTCAAACTCTCGGTTCTAGTGAAGCTACTACATCATTCCCAACTTGGTCATGGAGTTCAGTCGCCGGACCTCTTAGATTTGGTAGACATTCTCACAGTGTGCCGGTAACGACTTGGGCTCATTTCTCACTGGCAGAGGGCAATTTTGTCATGTTGATTCCACCTAAAGTGGAACGCTACGGATGGCACCAATTAGCTCATACAGAAAGGTTCTATAATCTCGAGCACTGGATCAATCTTCGTGATTGTAAGTGCAAAAGCTTGAATCAAGAACGCTGCGAGGACTGATGCCTTGATAGTCACCCACCCGTGTACGAATGGATATGCAGAGAAGAACATCGGTTTTTCTCAAAAAAATTCTCCGATGAAGATACCAATGCAGCTCTTATACCTGGACGTTTGTTGCTATTGACCCAAACTGCTAGGTTACGTTTAGAATGTTATGGCACATTTTCTGGCGAGCCTGAATCACCAACTGAGTTTTCTCTATGGAATGAAGATGAACAATGGACTAGGATAGTTCAGCTCTCGAAATATGATGCGGAAACGGTCATGCAGATGTGTAAAGGTGGCAACAAGGCTTTCTTTGACTTTGCTTCTATTTCCATTACCGGTATACGGGATGGTCCGAGTCCGCTTTACGGATTTTTTTGACAATACACAAGCGAGTGAGCATCTGTATCAAGCGCCTTTTACCCGAGAAGATGAAGTAAAGTTGTTTCCTGAGTCGAAGGAGAAATTCTTCCAAGAAGTAAGATACAAAGGCTATGATAAACTACGTCGCGACTCAATCGTTGCCGATCTACCGGTTTTGAATGTGATGCTACTACATTGGCGTGGAAAGGTAGCTCAGAGAGTTGGTCTTGGGCAAGTTTGGGTGAGGAGATGGGCTCAATCATACCCGAGAATTAGTCCTATAGTTTTAGGATAAGATGTTCTCGAATACAACAAATTTTGTGGACTAGTGAGAAGTTTGAGTGACTAGAATGGACGATATATTTATTCTTTTGTTTGAAGAAGTATGAATTGAAAATAAATCTAATTTTAGAATGAATTTTGGAATTCTTGTGAAAATATGAAAGTGGGTTATAATTAGAGGTGAGTATGTAAGCTATATCTGAAGGGAAAGTGAAGCGAGTATACAAACGTATAGGTATCTATCTACTTATTAGAGTACTTTGATATTTCCTATGTTTCCAAGGTTTCATAAGAAAGAAACCATATCTAGATGCTTTGTATTGTAAGTAGTAAAATTACAATTATGAAATGAGTTACTCTCTCTTAAGAGGGCCACCTAGTTAATACATGAATGATCTCTACTATTACTATTCCCTATAAACAAGTTAAAGAAACATAGTCATAAAAAGCTCAAGTATATTTAAGCAATGTGATTTCTCAAAGTACAAATTTGAAGCATGTTTATACAGTAGCAAAATATAATAAATACTCTACTAATGTCAGGAGTATCTATTCAAGTATAATATCATTCCTTCCGCCTCAATCTAAATCAAAGTAAACAACTCATTCATTTGCTACCTCAATATTATTATACTTGTGAAGATTTTGAGCCATTTTTGAAGGGTATCAAATGTCGTGTGTTTGTGTTTGCTACTCCATCTCATTCATAAGTTCGCATCCCAGCCACCGGAGATTTTTATTGTCTCACTTGGTACCATCTAGCTGGTGAATCAACCCCGTTTTAACCCTTGATTTCCCAGCCTCGTTTCTTGCGCGCTTTTAGGAAAGTTTTCTTTCCTTTCCTATTTCCACTACTACTACATACTTATTACTTGCATAATCCTTAAAAGAAGCTTCTTTTCCATTTGTCATGTCAATTTAATTTGTCGCGACTTTGTATGCATCACTGCATTGCCTTTGATCTACCGAATATAGCTCTTTAGCTCTCGAAAGCTGATCCTAGTATTCATATCGATTAGGCGGTCTCCACTCTGCTATCAATTTTTAGATCGGGAGCTGGCTGGATAAGCCATTCTCGAAATGCGTCTCTCGGCGAATATTTTAGGTCTTCCAACTTCGATTTTGATATTGTTGATTTCGCAGACACATTCGGTACAGGCGGTCGACATTGATAATAATCGATTGTTGGCTCTATGGCCTCGCGATTGGATACATGTTAAGGATTGGATTTATGGATCTGCGAGGAGGGAAAGAGGTGAGGGGTCGGAGGGGAGCGATGTAGTGGCTGCGAAAAGTCCGGTTGGGATACTGAAAATGAGTGAGGATGAAGGAGAGAAATTCTACATGGGATATTGGAGATTTGGAAATGAGGATACGCACATGAGTTTGGATGGAGGGGATAAGTTTCTGAGGGAGAGAGATTTGAAGGAGGAGGCTAGATCACTTGCGAATTCGTCGATTCCTATTTCTTTTCGAGCACCATTTGCATTGCATACGGAAGATCACTCAGGACTCTTGGATTATGAAAAAATTCGAGCTCGTAGAAAGGATTCGACTGCCGTGTTGGCTATACTGGAGAAAAGAGATTTTAGATGTCCTACGGGAACATCGAATTGCTCATCAATCGGATATCCAAATAGTTGTTGCGCAACTGATGAAACATGCTTTCAAATCACAGATACTGGATTGGGACCTGTAGGATGTTGTCCTAGTGGAGGAAATTGCGGAGGAACTATCACGAATTGCGCTTCGCCAAATACACCTTGTGCTGCTGACGTAGGAGGAGGTTGTTGTATACCAAATTATGTGTGTGCTTCGATTGGATGCGTGATTAATCCATCACTTGTGGTGGTTGTTACTACAACCCAAACTTTTACTGTTGTTTCGTCGACTCCAACGACCACGATTCAAACCACTACGATTACTAGCACAAAATCTTCAAGCGTATCGAGTACTACCTCTCAAAGTTCGACTCCTATTAGTACAACTACATCTGCTTCAGGAGTCGTCCCCGTTCGTCCTACAGGTGATTCTTCAACTACTACTACAACTACTTCTTCAACAATCACTCAAGATACATGTCCCACGGGTTTCTATGCCTGCTCAGCACATTATCAGGGAGGATGTTGTAGAACGGGCAGAAATTGCGATACGACATCCTGTCCCGCAACATCATCAACGACAATAGTGAGTAGCGGAATCACAGTAGCGGTTCCGGTTGGATCGGCAGCAACTATTACTTCGGCAACAGGAGCGTGTGCAACGGGTTGGACGAGTTGCGCGGCGAGTTTGGGCGGGGATTGTTGTCCTAGTGGGTGGGCCTGTGGAACGGCTAGTTGTGAGAGTGTGAGTGTGCAGGCGACGGCTACGACTACGGAGGTGCTTCAGAAGGAGGTGCCGGGGATGGGGGGAAGGCTTAGGGGGTCGGGAGGAGGAGTGCTAGGTTTGGGGGTGCTGGTTGGGTGGCTGGTTTTGTGAGGGAGGTATGTTGGCTGTGGGATGATTTATGAGCTATGAATGATGATGATGACGATGGGTTATGAGCAATGAATTTATGGAGCTTTAGATTTATTCTAGGGGAGCCATAATATTGGTTTGTATACTCAAATACAATCTAGGCGTGCCGTGGCCCTCGTCGATTGGTGAGCATATTACAACGGGAAATATCACGTGATCACGAAAGCTATCGAACTCAGCTTTGCGGTCATCGACTTGTTTTAGTTGACTTGTCGATTTGTAGAGTATGGAAGTCTATATACGGAATTGAGACTCCATTAAAATGCAGAACTTTGCGCGTAAGATCAACCATTACTTTTATAGTATAGTTACGAGAATAGCAAACTTATTGATATTATACTACCTTAGCAACCACCTACTTGAAGTTTAGTCTAAACCACCTCGAGATCAAAGTTCTTACTACTTTCACATAACCCAAAAGGCTGTTTCCGTGACAGGACAATCATGTATGTGTATTCCCAAGTTGGGGATATTCCTGCTTCGTGCGGTTGCCACGTTGGGGACTCTTTGCAGGTTACGAAGGCCTCTTATGTACCCGACATTGATCAAAATCAAATATGGTAGATCCTCACGATCGGAGGAAAGACTCGAGGGAGGGAGGGTATAGAAGAGAAGGAGAACACGGTGGGTTATGGTTATGTAAAGGCTTTGGTACCTCAAGTTATAGTGTCCGATGCTATAATGTCCGATTCCGAATGGAACGATGCATCCGCACTCTTCTGTACTAATTACTACATATACGTATGCCTTTATTGTATAAATTGTATTGAGAAAAAGCTTAACTTCACGTCCCATATAAAGGTGATACGAATCATGAGGGGATTTTCCCCAAAGGGGTTAAATTAATATTGTTCATATTGTGACTTCACCCCTTCATGCACTGTTGATCAAGTACAACTCTTGTCACCAGTCCGTACGTATATTGAGACATATTTCTCTTACCCAAATAGAAGAGGCATATCAACCTAGATATGTCGACGCCAAGTAAATCAAGTCCTCTTTTGACTCTTTTAATTTGCAAAGCCTTGTCTGCACACGTCGATGGCTGCGTAACACCGGTAGGAACGTTTCTTGGCTGTCTATGAACAGTTTCTACATACCATGAGAGAACTTCAGAGCAACAAAATTTTCATTATATAAGGAAGGCGATGCATGTTCTATCGATGTTAACTTCAAGACAGCTAACTACAGCTGAGTATTTCCTTCCCGCTTGCATCTTCTACTTGTCTTCGCTGTTAATTCTTGTCTACTCTTTTGAATCCGTCAAATCAACAAAAGGCTTCTACAATGCTTTTCGGACTTTCTCTCCTTGCTTTGTGCACCCTAGTGCAATCACTTCCCTCGAAGTCGCACGTAGCTAGGCAAGCCGACGATGGTACTGCCCAGTCGATGGCCATTGTCGACGCTGCCAACACTCTCCTAGGCCTTCTTACCGCGGAGCAGAATGCATCACTGGTGTACCCTTACGAAGCAGCCGGGAATGCAACCCCGGTTTACTTCGGATCCTCGACCAGCGGCGGCATTGCCGCTGAGCAGTTCGGTCAGTCAGTATGGACCAACTACCCCGTCGGCATCGTGGATCGCGTTGGGTTGGCCCGTGACAACTTCACGGACACGCAAGAGGAAGCGGTTCTGAACCTGCTACGCGTCATGTTTAGTGAAGATGGTTACAACAAGGTTCAGGAGATCATGAACGCCGACCAAGTCGAGGAGGACCGTGGTGTGGACTATGAAGCTGGATTGGGAAGTTACACGCTAGGCTTTTTCGGGCAGCCCAGTTTGACGTCTCTTTGGATGATTCAGTTTGGCGGACATCATCTTGGGATCAACATGGCCATGTACGGTAGTAAGGCCGTCATCGCTCCACTGTTGACCGGTTGCTTGCCAGCCATCAATAACGTCACGAAGCGCGTGCTGGCCGCAGAGAACGACATCGCATTTTCTCTCGTCGGATCTCTTGACGAAAGCCTTTTCGCTCAAGCCAACATCACTCATGATGTGAGCACCCTCACTCTTGGACCTGGTCACGATGGCGAAGAGTACATCACAGAAGGTGTCAGTGTGAGCCTTTTCAGCGAAGCCCAGCAAGCATTGGTTGTCGACCTTGTCTCTGAATGGGCTGGCCTTCTCAACCCAATCCACTACGCGCCCCGCTTGGCTGAGATCAAAGCTGGACTGAACGAAACTTACTTTGCGTGGAGCGGTCCCACCACAAAGGAGGATAACCAGAACGGCAAGTCCTATTTCCGCATCAAGGGCCCAGATCTTTGGGTTGAATAGTAAGTAACATTTTACTCTCATCAATTCGTGTTTTTGTGTTGGAAGCTAACATTGAGCAGCGCACCACAGACCAATGATGAATACGGTGATTTGAGGCTTCATGCATACACCATTTATCGAGACCAGTTGAGAGGTTATGGACGCACACTAGAAGAATAAGCTATTGTATACAGGACTTATCATTATGTCTATGAATAAGTGCTAATTGTCTAACTCTTATTCTAACTATTCTTCCCAGATTTTTCTTAGTATTTCGAGTTGGGAATTAGATGTGTTAATTTGTATTTATTTGAGTATTTAGAAGAAGATGAAGGTATTATTAAACGGTGATTTATTGTCTTTCACATCTCGATAAAGCTTTATTAGACTAGTAGGTGTACAGACTCAAGGGGTAGCTTATTAGTAAGATATAAATTTATATCCAAAAAGATAACTATAATATTAAAATTTAGAGCTTGAATTTGAAGTATTTTAGTTTATTTTTTTAGAATTCTAAGATTATTTGAATACTCGATAGATCTGAAGAATCATTTTGAGTAATATTCAATATAATATCGAATTTTATTTTATTTTTGAAATTGATAAGTGTTCGTGTAAAATTGTACTTTCTTTTGAGTGTTTTGTAAGTGTTATAAGTTGGTCCACTCACTAGTGGAAATATTATAGCTGCCCAGGTGGAGAACTAAATCAACGACGCCACAGATAACTAGCCAACCTTGGAACTCACCGCGGGCGAATCTATCAGCAGCGCAATTTCAGCCCCAGCCTCAGCCTCAGCCTCAGCCTTAGCCTTAGCCTCGGATATTTTTGTAGGAGGGGTTGATGATGAATAATTTAAGTGACTGGTTGATTAACATGACATGGCATGACATGACAGAAGTCTCAAAAAGATACAGATAAAGTTTAAATTTTGAGTTTGAGATCTAGAGATCTAGAGATTTGCATACGTGGGGCTGAAGATTAGGGTTTGGATTAAAATCAGGATTCTTTTGAGTTAAGATACTTTTTGCTTCTTTCACTTATTTTGGGGGATTTGAGTGGTTGTTTGACGTGTTGAGTTGATAGAAGGACAAAAGGATCGAGAAGGATAAGAATAGAAATAAGGAGAAGGCAACGATAGAGAGGAGAATAACTTCAGGAAAGAAAGGGGGAACAAAAGTGTAGGGAAGAATCAGATCACTTCAATACCTACACTCGAGGACTTGAACTCGTCGCACATCTCTCGAATCCGAAGCTCGAAGACAAGGACAAAGACGAAGTTGAAGAAAAGAGCGAAAGAATTATCCGAATAGAGAGATTTGTGTCGCGGATTTCGAAGAGAACTTGTGAGAGATTTGGAAGAAATAGGGCGAGATTGTACGTCTGTGTCTGCGATTGCGTGTACGCGGTTCTGAGACTCTGCGACGAAGATTTATTGGGTGAGAGATACGACGGAGGGTGTGATTTGGTGGGATACGATACGATACGCCACGTTACGACACGACGCAATATCATACGATAGGAAGACGAAGACGCGAAGTTAGATCAAAGATCTTGGGATAAGGAAGATTATCGAATACCAGCAGACAGAATCAGATTCCTGAGAGACTTGAGAACCCTTGGATTTTCGAAGAGAGAAGATCGCGAGGATTTTTGAAGTGGGTTTATTACGACACCTATTTATCGCGAGAAGTAATAGTAAAGACGAATAAGGAATAAGAGGAAGGAGAAAAACAAGATATCTGCGAGTAACCTATATTCAAATCACCTTCTGCACCATCATCGAAATACATCCATCTACCTATCTGCCCACCCTATCCCGATATACAGCCCCCTTCACCCAAAAATTCTCTTCCAAATAATTCATCGACCCCGCCATAACAATGGCTTCAACTTCTACCCCTCCAGTAGGCCGAACACAGACCCGGATTCAAGGACAAGCACAAACTGCTCCACAGAATCGCGGAAGTCTAACAATCACGCAATCACAATCGAACACAAATACACCGGTTTTACGCCTAAGGGGTGCGCCAAATACAGAAAGCGAGAGTAGTGCGGATGGAGAAACGGGTTTAGGAAGAGGTAGGAGGATTCAGTGGGCGGAAGATGTGGTGGATAATGAAGGACTGGGGAGGAAGAAGAGTAAAGGTATTTTGCTTCATTTTTCTATTCTTTGGAGTCTTTGGGATTTTTGATTGGAGGATCTTGCTTCAAAGAAGAAAGGGAAGAGGTGGAATCTAAATGGTTGATACCTTTCTTGGAATGGTGAACTAACGAGAATTTGATAGTTTGTTGTATATACCACGCTCCTCGACCCATCGATGAATCGTCGGATGAAAGTTCGAGTGATAGTGATGATAGTAGTAGTGATGATGATGATGGGAGTGCGAAACCTTCTGGAGGTGGAAGAAAAGGTGGTGGACATGATCATGATCACGATCATCAACATGGAGATGGATGTGGACATGGAAAAGGAAAAGGAAAGAAGGGTAAAGAAAGGAAAAGAAGTCCGAATGCTTATGAGAGGCAGCCGAATTATAAGGGGAAGGGAAAAGGATGATTATGAATAGGCTGGGAAGGAAAGGGGGACAGAGGGGAGGAAATGGCAGTCTATTGAAGTCATGATCTGATGTGGTATCACTCGAGAATGGCATGTTTCTTTAATAGAATATGGGTTATCGGAGTTATTATTCGTCCACTTACATAGTACGCATTGGGGTTCGATGTTTATATGTTTAGATGTATAAGTGCATGGATCTTGGACTAGGGTATAGAGAGGAATAATAAATGATAGACCTGGAAAGAACAGAACAGGTGAAGAAATAAGGAAATGAGTCTATGATACTTGAGCAAATTTTCAGTGTGAGTTGATTTGATGTTGTTTATTGGTTTGATGGGCTTGGGAATGCGTAGAGCGGATGGGATGTGTGTCGTATGTGATATAATGTAAAGTGTTGTGGATTTTATGTTTAGGAGTGATGAAGAGGGGAGGGGATGGAGGGGAAGCGAAGGTTGGAGAGAGGAGAAAGAAAGGAGGTAGGGGAGGGACTAGATTAGTATTCGTATTCATATATGTATTGGGCTGAACTAAATCATTATGTTGGAGATGTTCTGTATGAAAAATTTGAGTGAGGTTGTGCATCTACCTTTGTTATATAGAGATGAAATGGGGAGAATGCGTAGTCTCCCTTATGTATACCTATATATGTATGCAGTGGATATAGAAGCTTGTTAGATGTAGAAACAATCTCTATTTATTTGTAGTGTAAAAGTAGGATTGTATTGTAAATGAAGATGTAGATATTATTTGTTTACAGAAAATGAAGACATTTGACGAGGGAGGGGATACAGGTCGAGAAGAGTCGACTTACTCATGATTTGATTAGTGCTACTTGTTAGTGTATAAGTAAGTATATTGATTGACACATGATTTTATGGCTCATCTCTGGAGTTTTGAATACCTCTGATTATGTCGTATGTATGTTGTCCTATACTATCTATCACATACTGGGTATATCTCTGTGTTTCTTCTTCCACTGCTTGAGATCATCATCATCATTATTTGATGTTCCATCTTTCCCACTTGGAGTTCTAATTTTAGATATATACAGAGACATAAATACTACCTTCATCAAACATATCATCCGAATTAGTGTAGGGGTTAACATAACTCGCTTTCATTATCACCCGATAACGTACCGAGTAGCCCCGGGTTCGATTCCCGGATTCGGAAAGTTCATCTTTTATTTTTGGTTCTGTTTTCCCACCGAAAGCAGTGGTTTTTGGAGCGTGTAAAGAGGAGAAGTGTATGTATGGGCTGAGTGGTGGTGTTGTTTTTGAGGTGAAAGCGAGAGGGGAAGTTTTGCTGGAGCGGGGTATGTGGGGTATGTGGGGTGAGTTGGTGGATTTTGTTTTGTGTTTGGATGGCTTGTGGTGAGTGAGTGAGTTAGTGATCCACTGTTTGGTGGGAGGATGTGGATGGAGTACAGATGCACCGGTATTTGTTGTTTTATATGTAATTCCTGGTGAGAGAGTATATACAATTTATATCGTGGGTGGAATTGAAGATCGCGGCAACTGGGAAGATGTAGACTCGAGGTAGAGAAGGAGAAAGAGGTATCGAGGCGCTTTCTACAGAAGGAAAGGACTGTAGATTGAGCGATAGCCAATTGGATAGTTTCATTTGCACAAAATCTAGCAGGTCGTTGTGAGCCTCTTTGAGATCGCAATCGTTTTTCATATATATATAGAGAGAGATGCAATCTAATGTTGACCTTTCCCATATTTTAATTTTTCTCAAGTTTAACTTCGAATCACCTATATTCACATAATCGTTATTTTCTAGTAGGGTTTAGCGCTTTCTGGTTTATCCAATATCACCTGCGTAATCAACTAATCAATAAATCAATAGATCAATGAATCCAAAGCCAACCACTTCCCCTCTTCGTCCCCAAATGAATTAATCAATCCCTCGTATATTACAATCATCATGTCCAACTCTCCAATTAAATCAAATCTCGTGCTCCTTGTCCCTGGGCTTCTCACTGCTATTGTCTCCTGCCTCCCTTAATCCGGATCTCAAGAGCCTTCGTTTGACGTGCAGGGCTCTGGGCGAGAAAGCTTATTTCGACAGGGTCTTCTTGTCTGCCAATTCACGAAACATTGAAGTTGCAAGAGCAGTTGCTGACAACAAAAAGTTCCGCAAGGGGGTCAAAGAGATCATATGGGATGATGCTCTACTTGCCCACGATATAGTGAGGCCTATTGAAGCAATTCATATGCTAGCAGAATCTCCTCGGGCAGAAGATGACCCATCCACCTGGTTCATACGAGCTTTCAAGGACAATATTGAGAATTTAAGAGATCTAAAAAGAGACAGAAAAAGGCCAAAGACGCGAGAGGTTTTGCCATTTTTTGAATCATGGAGTTACTACGAGACACTTTTAGAGCAGTGGGAAAAAGTGCTAAGATCTGGGGCTCATATTAATGTATTGACGTACGTCTTGGGGCGCTTTCGATCACTACGAAGAATTACTATTACACCCGCCGCTCATGACAGTTTGGATCGACCGCTTTACGAAACGCCTATGTTAAAACTTTCTCCAAAAGGTTTCAACTATCCAATCCCACGCGACTGGCCATCTTCTGGGGCATTTGGACTTTATATCTTGCCTCCAAGGACGGTTAAGAAACAATGGCGAGGGTTCTATATTATCACTAACATACTTGCAAGATAGAATGACCGCCATATCTCAGAGCTAACCATCGATGTTAGAGAACTCGAAACAGGACTGAGTTGTCGTATCTTTGACGAACCATGTGAGGAGTATGATAATCTTGTTCATCTACTTCAACAGCCAGGCTTCCGCCGCATAGATCTCGCCCTACTTGATGGTGAGCAGGATCATGTTGACGACTGGCCAAGTTACCGCGGTGGTTACTTGAAAAAGATGTTCGAGGCAGCGCCCAACTTGGAGCATGTTAGCCTCCGAATAATGGCTGATTACGATCAAATTTATCCCGATTTCGAGGAATATTGCATTCCACTTCAGACCATCTTTCCCGTTGATCGATGGCAGAAGCTCTGATATTTTGGTCTTTCCAAATTCATCGTAGATGGACCTGATCTACTTTCCCTCCTCGGTGCGCCTCCGACGACACTGCGATTGTTGAACTAAGTTTTTTGGAAATCGTCGGTGATCGTGGAAAATACCGTGATATTCTCCTTGATATACGCGATATCCTTGATTGGTATGACCGAGCTGCTAACGCAAGATCTAAGCTTATAGTCCATGTCTACAAATCAAGCATGCGACACACTTCAATGCGGTACCAATGTGTAGATTACCAAGCGAGCGGGTTCATCTACGGTGATAAAGAGAACCCATTTGGCGACAGGTCAAACGGCAATGTACTGATACACAAGGTGGGCATTGAGCGATCTCAATTCGGGTGTTGTTCCTCGGGATGAGGAGTTTGAAGCATGAAATAATTACTCAGTATTCAACATACCCACGCGAAGATCGACGGGAATTGGAAATTGTCATGACCAAATGACAATCTGTATACAGGAATATTACGTAGTGAGCTATCTCATATATACACGGTCTGATCTTAGTAGCGATCAAAATATCGAAATTCCATATTGTTAGTGGTGGGTACCTAGTTATTGCAGAGAATCGAAAGGTAAGTGCGGCTGGGTGTTGAAAAATCTGCCTCTTAAAATGGAATTCCAATGTTCGATTGGGATATTGTTGCGAAGCTGACAATCAGATGCATACGCAATGGCACTCAAAGATGCTCATGGTCAGATTATGGAGTATATCCTACACTTTCTAACATTTGCTAGTGTACACTAGCACCGAGCCCTGTTTGTACCAGATACAAACTATTTTGATAATCTGCTACAGAATAATTAGTGATTACCTAGACTTGAGATGTAGGTAATGTGTTTTCATGTTAATGAGGTATGTCATTGAGAGTTCGATTGATGTCTGTATGATTCGAATTGAGCGAGAAGGATAATATGGAAGATAAAGCATATCGATTTGAGCTTCAATCGGTTGGCTTTTTTTTAGGGGGGTGGGGTATGAGGAGATGCCATGTCCAACTTCCTGATGTACCATCAGAAAACTTCACGCCACCAACAGATTCAAACAGTATGTTATATACCCTAATACTTAGCTACATACTCTGCTGTTGGTTTTGTTGGTATTATTTACTTACCTACTTACTCACCATTAGCGGTCCAATCATACCAGATTGGTTTTCTCGTTTATACTCGGATGTATTTATCCATGATTATTCATAATAGTATACCTAGGTAGGTATTCAACGGTTGGTAAGATGTGGATTACTTGGGGATGTTGTGTTATATTGTGTTATGTTATGTTGTGTTGTGTTATATTATGTTATGCAGATGCTTATGTATGTATGAGTAAATGAATAGTTGTTCAATATCGCTCTAATATTTATAGTGAGATATAAGAAAGGGTTTTCTCTCCTCGCCTTTTCCCTTCCTCTTTGTTATCCTTTTCTCAACTCTCAAGTTTCAGGTAGAGTATCTATATACCAAGCTCACACCTCAACCCTCAACCTTCACCATCCCATTCCCACTACCCTCACTTCTCCCTCTCACCCCTCTCCCCTCCAAACATGCCCCGCCCCCCCCCCCCCCTCTCCACCCCCGTCTTCATCCTCGTCCCAGGCGCTTCCCAATCCCCCGCGCACTACGACCTCCTCATGCATCTTCTCCTCACTCGCGGCCACCCCGTCTACTCCGCCATTCTCCCTAGTACTGGGCCCGGAAATGCAAAGAATGTAACCGCGCAGGTAGATGCGGAGTATGTGCGTGAACATATGTTATTGCCGATTCTTGATACGGAGGGGCATGATGTGGTGATGGTTATGCATTCCTATAGGTGTGTTTTTTTCTTCTTTTTTTACAGTTCGAGGAAACAAGAGGGAAGAAAGCAACAGAATATGTAGATCACAGGGGAAGAGAAATGAACAAAAAAGCTGACACAAACTCGCCACAAAAGCGGTATCCCCGGCAGCGCCGCCGCATACGGACTAGGCAAAAAAGATCGCGAAGCAGCGGCAAGAAAACATCTGTTCTGGGACAAATATATATCGCATCGTTATTGGTGAAAGGAGGTGATGGTGGGAATATTGTTGATGCGTTGGGTGGATTACTTCCGCCGCATATCACGCCTGATGTGAGTTTTTTTGCTGGTTTCTTCTCTCGATTGTTTTGGATTCTTGGAGGTTGTTAGGGGTTTCTCTTTCGGTTTTTAGTATCAGCTAGGATAGAAAAGTGAGGAAGTATCTTCTCATTTTCACAACTACTGAGTGGTAGATGAAAGAACCATTATCACACTTGGTGGAGAACTGCCGCCCAGCTGTACCCCTAACTTCTGATTCCTTATAATCCATCTCCTCCCTCCATCTCCAACCCCCCCTGACATCCCCACCAGGAACCCTCCGGCATACTCACCTGCGCCGACCCCGGCCCTCCCCTCTACTCTGACGTCACACCCATCGTCTTCCAAAACGCCATCGTAAACTCCACTCTCTGTCCCAGCTACGCCTCCTGGCACTCACCCTGTCCACGCGCCTCCTGGGATCAAGAATCTTTCAAGGGAAAAATCGCATTCATTCGAACCCTCAATGATACGGGTATCCCGTTGCAGTTCCAGGATATGTTTATGCAGAATACGGGAGAGGAGTGGATTGTGAAGGATATGAATACGGGTCATAGTCCGCAGCTTGGGCAGCCGGAACGCGTCTGTGATGTTTTGATTGAGTTGGCGAGGGGCTTTGGAGGGGTGTGAGGAGCGAGTTGAGAGGGGGATGAAAGGGCTGTCGGTTTGCGTTGTTTGATGAGTGATTATTCTCCGGCAAAGTAAATATGAAGACGGGAAAAAAAATCTCAAGCTTTCATATCCCTTGTTTGGATGGATCATGATGGTTTGTTTGTTTCCCCTCACTATTCAACTCTCTATTAAACATGGAAACAAAAAGAAGAGTAGAATCCTATCACTTTCTTCCTTGAATCTTGGCTCAATCTTGATGATTTGTCAAAATCTCAAAGTCGTACAATCTCTACTTCAACCCTATTAATAGTAGTCTCAATATTGAAGATTGGGGATATTTAGAGCAACTCATATATCCTGGGCGTAGATTAAAATTGATTTTCTCTACGGAAAAATATTATTTTTCTTTTCTCTACAAGATTCCACTCTCGGCCTCTTTACAAACATTCAAGAAAACATCATCCATGGATGGTTCTGAAATCGTATAATCCCTCAACACCTTCGACACATGTCTCGCACCATTTCCTGGCCCTACCTCGCCATCAATCCTCCTCTCAATCCCCGGCACACCCTCCTTATCCATCATCAAAGTCTCCATACTCAGCATAATCCTCCCAATCATCTTCCTCTCATACGGCAGCTCAAACTCCACCTCGCTAAACGCACACTTGAGATTCCGCACTTGCGTGCCAAACATGACCCGCAGAGCCGCCTCCAATTCCCTCTCGCTCCCAACCTCATAAGCCGCCCGCACGCGATAGAACCCTCCAAAACGCGATCGCAACTGCGACGTCGTACCCGAAGCTAACATTTTCTTATCGACAATGGCCACTTTCGTAGCCAATGCTTCCGTCTCCTCCATACTATGCGTGGTAATCAAAATCGCGCGATCGTTACTCAGCGAACGCAAGATCTTCCACAAAACACGTTTGGCACCGGCATCTTGCCCGGTAGAAGGCTCGTCCAGCAGCAGCAGTCGCGGGTTCCCGAGGATGGCGATCGCGACCATCACTTTCCTTCTTGTGCCGCCCGAGAGCTTCGTAATGAGGCGGTCAGCGAAGGTTTCTATGCCGAAGGCGCGCATCACGCCGTTTACATTTCCCCTGACGTCTCGTAGACCTTTGATACTCGCGTAGAAGCTTAGGGTTTGGCGGACGGTGAGCTCGTCAATTGCGTCATCTTGAGGGCAAACGCCAGTGTGAATTCGTGCTTGTTGAGGAGAAGCGAGGACATTGATGCCATCTATGGTTACGGTGCCATGATCGGGACTGAGGAGACCACGGATCATGTTGATGGTGGTTGTTTTTCCAGCACCGTTGGCACCGAGAAGTGCTAGTGTTTCATTTGTGGAGATGTTGAAAGATATTTCTTGTACTGCTAGCAGTGACTTAAAAAATTTGGTTATCTTGGAGAGAACAAGGACAGTTGCATTACTTTTCCCTTTGAGAGGCTTGAGAGGGATGTCATCATCATGCTCTGCCGTTGGTGCGAAGTTTGGAGACTCTCTTCCCTCGATACCAAAGTCTAATTGTGCTGGAGTCGCTGGCATCTTTCTCTTTGGAAGAAGCTTGAGAAACCATGCTGAGCTTCCAGTTTCGATAAATCTAAGCACAAAACTACAGAACATGATCTGTAGAATCAGATTAATGTAGACACCACCATAGAGTTGAAATGCTATGGGATGCAAATCATACCACCCTGTCTCGCCGCAGGTGATGCCGAAGTTATCGGTTGCTACAAAGAACGTTCGGAGTAGGTTGGCTGCTGGCGAGGTGAGACCAAGTACGCCTTGAATATCGAGGGCTATGTCGAATGCGTTCACAGGGCTCTTGGAATCCATGATGAAATACTGTTTTCTATTAGAATCATTCAAAATAATGAGGATGGTACTTACTACGACGAGATAAACCACCATTAGCATGATGTGCACGCCAACTGCAACTGCAAACGCAGCTCTTCTGAGGAATAAAGAGCAGAGATAAAGCCCTGAGTAAGTCGCAATACAGAATAGCAGTATTGCAAATAGGATGAATGTTGATCATACCAGATCCGGCTGTTGCCGCCCGAAAATATAATTACCCATGTTACGACAGACGTGATAAGTCCAATGTGCATGTCAAAGATCAAGTAGGCTGTCCATAGTGCTGCAGACTATTTCCATGTTAGACAAAAGCACACCGTGTTCAGACCGCTTGAAAAACTTACCGAGAATAAATTTGAATACTGCAAGGCTCTGACATTATTGATCCTCTCAAACACTAGATACATGATGCTGACACTTGTGCTACATATGAACCCAAGTGTTATGAACATCAAGATTGGAATTGACAATGGGTCGGGAGTAAAGTTGACGTGTCGGAATTTGCGGTACGTTGGCTTGACCTTCCTTGCCGTTCCAGTTTGTGCTGAGGAGTTCGCAAGTCAATTTGTGATGATGTTCATACCTGCCATGGAGAATTCTGGGTAAATTCAATGAACGAACGTGATATCGGCCGAGTCAGCAAAAACACCAAATGCTGGCTGACCGTGGTGATCTTTGACGATGGAAATCATTTCTGTAAGTGAAGACGCATTGCCACGAGTAGCTAGAGCCTTCTGTTCCCCAGTAACACCCTCTTTTTCAAGACTGACTGACCCAAAATATTGTCCCATGTTCTCGACATAAATTGTACTTTGAGCTTCGCCATCAAAAGCAGCCGGTGGTCCAGCAATGCTAGAAATCGCATAGTATGCAAGGTCCTCAGCGCTGTAGAAATCAGGGGTCTCCAAAGGACCGAGAACATCGTAAGTATCAAAACCCTCTCCCAGAGACATGGACTCTGCTATGCTTGCATTTCGCATGGTAACATCTATTCTATGTGTACAGTTATCGAAGCTGTCGAATTTAGCGACCGAGCTGGCTAGTGCACCGGCAATGACAATTGGGATTATGAGAGCGATGCCATAACTCATCCAGCTGTGCCGCGCTAGAAGATAGCGTTTCTTCAGGATGACTAGAGTCTCGAATGCAGTTAGGACGAGAGTCAGGCCGACGAATTGGCAACTTACTTGGTGAAATAGCTTGGTTTGCTTCCCAACTTCAAGGGTTACTCCCTCCACAGTCCCTGGGTTCAGTTCTTCCAGCTCAGTCTCCTGTCTAGATATCTGATCACCAAGTAATACATCTCCGTTGCCATTACCATCGATCAGCGATGAATTGGTGACGTTCAAAAAGACTTGCTCTAGCGTCGGGAAGGTAACTGAGTATAGACCACCTGATAGCTCTTCCAATTCGAGAATCTTCTTTGTTGCTTCAGTAGAAGTCTTCATGTTCCACGTAGGCATTTTTTCTTCATCATTTTCATCTTCTTCGTAACCTTCGTCATCTTCGGTCGCAATATGTCGGATCTCGAGGTCCAGTCCGTAGTTGGCTTTCAGTGAAGTGGGGGTACCTGTGCACACAAGTCCTCCTTTGTAGATGATCGAAATATTATCCGCAAGAACATCTGCCTGAGAAGAGTTAGCATTAGAAGTAGAATGAGATCTGGGATTATTTCTTACCTCGTCGAGGAAATGCGTAGTTATCAAGACGGTACGGCGCGAGTGACAATTAGAGATAATGTTCCAGATATTGCGTCTTGAGAGAGGATCTTAAAACCTGTCAGCAGTGGTCGAGACTTTGGAGTGGCTGTAGCTACCAAGCCACTGGAAGCCTCATCGATGAAGCACATTGTGGAACCGCACACAAATGCGATGGCAAGCTGAAGCTTCCTTTGCTGGCCTCCAGATAATGTCTCCACAGCTTGGTTAGATTTTTTCAAAATACCGCACTCTGCAAGCACATCATCTTCGCTTCCAACCGCAGTTGCTCCAGTTTTAATCTTTCTCCAAATTCGGACGTGTTCGGCAACCGTCAGTCTCTCCCAAAAAACCTACAAATGTTAACTCGGCACATAACTGGATGGAGTGATATTTACATTATGCTGAGGGCAGACGCCAAAGAACGTGGCATTTTGATTGATCTCCAGTCGAGAGCTTTTGTCCGCAGATATGATGCCGGCGATACATTTTAACGTCGTCGTTTTACCTCCTCCACTTGGCCCGAGCAGGAAGTTAACTGAACCTGTCTTTAATTCAAGATTCAAGCTGTTAACAGCAAGATGGCTGCTTCCCGCAGTGCTCCATGGCCAGTACCATCGACGGCTCGCTTCAAAAGTCTTCGAAAGTTCTGTGCAGCGTACTGCAATGTCACTAGACGAATCAATCTCAACGTAGCTTCTTTTCACACTCCATTTGTAGTGGTCAACTGCAAAACACGCAGCGGTGTAAATCACAATTTGGGCACAGAGGAACACGATATACAGGTAGCCAGTGACTTGCGGAGTGAAACCTAGACTACCAGAGGTGGTAGTGGTAGACTTCAGGAGCGAAAAGCTGGCGAAGTGCGCCTCGGCGCGCGCAACATCGCCGATGAGACTTGCGTAGGTGAACGGAGGAAATAAGGCGCTTAGTATTGCAATCGTGGTATGAGATGGGGTGTCACTGAACACGAACGCTACAGTGCCCAGTGTAGGCAATAGTATACTACAGTGAAACTGTGGCGTGTATTAGTATATTGATATTGCAGCTAGTATATATAAAAAGAAGGCTATACCACTTTTATATATATTCATATATTTAGAGAATATTAGTAATATACTGAAATATTAGAATTCAATATAAAATATATATTTCTATTTAAATTAAATAGGAATCCCTTATTTCTAATTTAATTTGGATAGGAATGTATATTTTATATTGGATTCCAGTATTTCAGTATATTGTTAATAGTATTAAATAACTAAATGATATTGAATACTTTCAGTAGTATTGAATTCTATACCATATACGTATATATTTCGAAAAAACTCGATACGCACTACTAAACTAACCTGTATACGAAATACGGGAAATACTATTGCCTACACTGACAGTGCCGAAAGCTAGCGTGAATGTGAGAATGGAGGCATAAAGTCCTGCTAGCTGGGCTTTCCTGAAAAAAGAGGATAAGAACAGTGACCACTGTAATAGTGTTAGCAAAGATCATAGAGCTGAAGCTGGAACTGAAAATATGTGTGTTAAAAAATGCATTCAAAAGAAGTAGATCTTGAATTACGTTTCTCAAGTCTGAATCCCTGAATTTTTTTGATGTGATGATAGGAAACATTTGCTTACCACAGTGAGAGATGTTCCAGCTATTAGTGTGAGGAACAGAAGAAGGGCATCCGAGCAACGCGTGAAGAGAAGCTGGGTCATGAGAATAGAGCAAATAAACCATCCTGGCGAATAAATTGCAACAAAAGAAGCAATAGTGGAAAGAATTCGAGGTGTTTTCGTGCATGTTTGTGCACCTAGAAGTTCGGCCATTCCCAGTTCTCTTTCTGATGCCACAAATAGACTGGCATGGTAGACAACACCAATCAAAGCGAGGAGAAATGTTGGAGCAACGAAGTAGTAAATTACCACAAACCAAGATGCGGTATCAAGCTGTGAGCTTGTATCCGTTGCTTTGTCTTCGAAATATCCGGACCAGGGAAGTTCCGATGGCGGAGTCGTTGTACTGAAGCTCCCAATGCTAGAATCCATAGCCCATTGCAGTGGCAGGAGGCGGTCGTTGCTCAAAGATTCATGCTTTGCAAAGTCAGTACTCGATAGGCTTGTAGCACTGTCGGTGGCGATGATATAATCAACATTCGTAGCATTGACTGAGGTGAAGATGACAGCAGCGAAGCAGTTGGACATGCCAGTCCGTGATTGTAGGCAATTGTAATACAAGTCGTCCACATCGTCAATAGTAACTCACCTGTCCAAACTGAGGCCTTGTACCGCAGTCTCTATAATCGAATTGACTTCCGTTCCATTGAATCCATTCCGGCACAGAACAAGTTTCTTGAGGGGAACCCCATCCAGCGCTTGTTTCAAGCTTTTAATCTGCTGTGAAGAGTCGGCAAATCCGCCGTCGGTCGGCGTGGATGAAATATTGGAGAGTTTTCCACCGGAACAGAATAGTGCGGTGAAAACTATTGGCAGAATCAATGCGCGAAAGAGAGTCGCCCACGGTGATCTGAGAAACAGGAGGAAGTTTTTCTCAGTCAGTGCTAAAGTCTGACGTCTGACACGGTCACGCCATTGAGCAGTTGGAAGAAACGCCATTCTTTCCAGACAAGCGAATGTAGTATGGGGAAGAACGCACAAGTACCAGATCATCTTATGTATAAGGACTACATTGTTTAGGTTAATCCCCGCTTCCCCCCAAGACGATGCACGTGCCAGTAATGAAACAGAGTTGCACAAATCGCAATTTGCACAGCCATAATTCAATCTAAGGGTCAACAAGCTCAATTTGACAGTGAGATGAGTAACGCGGCAGAGAATGTGCCATCGCGGGCATGGAATAAGGTAATGAAAACATGGCTACCGGCATGTTTCCCGTATTGGGTGGGGCAGGAAGTAGGCAAGGGTTCAGCCTCTTTGCAGAGAAAAATCAGATGAGATTTGATCATTCAGATATCTATTGAGAGCTTCTACCTTAATTGAATAAAAAATCAATCAAAAATGAATTTTATACAATCAAAAAAAAAAAAAAATATCAATCAATTATTAGTTTCTTATTGTTTAGAGAATATTTTGAAATTCAACCTTATATAATATTGAAGGGGAATGATCGATTTATAAAACATGTTATAGAACGGTCGAATACCGCCTGTTTTATCCTGTGAATACCTAGGGGTGTTTCATCTTGAGTCTAGCGTCGCAGAACTTTATGGAGCGCATACAAAGATCCCGCTTGATGGAGAGCAGTGACACTCCGCCAAGAAACCTTCAATAGTTAATTGGGACAACATACTTGACTTTAAGCTTCAAATACAGGCTTGGCATCTGATGATCTATTTCGGGGCTCATAGGGTGAAGACTCCACCGGCCGGAAAAAAAACTCCGGTGGAAAATTGTAATGCTCTGTAGATGACTTCGGGAAAGCATTATGGGCAGTGCTAAGACAAGCGAAAATTCTCCTTTTCGAGTCTGATCACCTTCAAAGACATTCGAACGTTTGACCACTCGTTACTGGTCTATTATTGTACTGAAGTCACGTTCACGACCAAATCTGTGGTTTTATTAAACACGAAAGATTCAAACATCCACCTCATAGACGTTGGTAATTCAAGACCCAAAGCAATATTTGTCTCGGGCGGCTCTATTATCTGCCCCATGGAAAGCACGCCATCCTGTTCCTCGCTTGCATTGAAGATGAAGACGAGGTAAGCCTCAGCGATCCATTGTAACCTCGTGAGGCAGCAAAGAAACCAGCATTTGCTCAATTCCCATATACTTGCACTCAAGCATAGAGTGATTGAAATCTTATGTCTGGATCAACACTTGCTACATCGATAAGAGAATCAGCACGGAACTCACTGAGGCTATCAATTAGATGTACATATGGCATGAGTCAGAGGCTATATGTTATGCTTTCTTGTCGACTTGCTTGACGATTGTCCAAGATTGGTCGAAACCCACACACACAAGGCCGTCGCTGTTTGGTATGGGCACTACGCTTTACATGGTACCGAACCGTTACATTCACCCTGAGTGATCCCAGAAAACCTCGTAGATCCATTCCCATCCCATCCCTTCAAACCTATTCATCTCCCATGAAGCCCGGAATCTACTAACGCCCACGCAATTGGTAAAGACCATGAACTCAACTATGAGCTTCTTCTCGCCAAGTTCCATCATCCCCCAGATATGAGAAAATGCATGTTTGCATGTCCTTGCAACTGCAACCACTTACAAGTATATCAAAAGCGTCAACAGAGAGGTATAATCCAGAAAGCAGTGAGATATCAAGGAAAAAACCATTACGCACAAGCAGATCGACACGCCTAGTCAACACCAACCAGAGCGTGAAAGATTCCGGCATGTAGAAAAGAGCAACAACAAATGTCCTCATACATACAAGAGAAAAACAACATCGCCAAAACATGCAATCCACACGTCGTCCTCGAGATCTCGTAGACGATGGTATTGATTGACAATGACACATCTCTTAGCAGAAGAACTACGACATCTACTCAGACATCATGGTTCATTCAGACACACCAGTGGGTGCATGGATTGATGGGAGACTTCCCACGTATTGAAATTTATAACAAATTTATTCTTGATTGTTTGATCTCGGAACTTATGATGTAATTGTATCATCTTAAATAAATGCTCGTAAGGATTCCCAAAACATACAAGTTGATATATCAAGAGGTATTTTTAAGTTCATTTTTGCAGTGTCCCATCAGTCTGTACACCCACTGGTGGCACAACCCAATCTGTCGGGACATTGATCATGTGATCCAAGAGGGCACTGTATTAGCTAGCGTCGCGCTAGCGCTTCCCTATATTTAGTACTAGCTTCCCATAGATAATAATGATCAAGAACAATACAACCACCATAGAACTAAGTACTTACACTTATCAACCAAGTTGATACCAACACAATCTCATCCCAAGAGCCCAACCTCATCCCATCCCCTCAAAAGCCCAACTCCCAAAACCCCCCAAGAAACCCCCAAGCCACAAACCCACAACAACCAACCAAGCCACCGACGCGAGCAAACACAAAACACACCAAACAGATCCGACTAGCGTCCGCTCCTCACCCCAAAAATAACAACCCCGATACCAACATGTCGATTCGAAACGCAGCAAAAACAATGAAGAATAAGAATTTACAAACGATTTGGTGAATCATATAGTGAGGAACGCTTTCTCTGAAACTGCCCACATGTGCTATTCTCGCCCGAGGGACCCGGACCAGGAACAGGACGAGCTGGACAGATATAAGAAAGTGTGATGAGATTAAAGCCGAGTTTTTTCACGAACATAGAACTTTTGTATCGCACGTGGATATCAAGTGAATCGGCTAAATTTGAATATGAACTGAGCCGACGTTTGTGCAGTGAAGTAACAAGTTGCAGTGTTGGAAAGTTACAACATGGGAGCCAGCTGCTGCTGTTACCCTCGCCAAACTTGGATTCTGATAATCCTGAGTTGGAATTGAGAAGGTCTCAGGAGAATAAAAGAAAAACTCCCTTTGAAAACTTTTTCCTTACTAAATTGAATTATGACTAGTCATCATCATTCAACCGTTAGAATCATATTCGGTCACAATGAAAACCTTTTCAGGGCTTACATCCCATACTTCATAATAGTTTAAACGAACGGTATTATAACTCCGTACTCTATCTCCGCTTGTGTATCGTATAAACTGTATGTTGGTGGCGTTGAGATTATGATAGTAGAACATTGAGCGAGCTTTCTCATTCCAACATGTGGATTAATGGACCCTAGATGATCTATCGAATATGTTTCTCCTGCTCTATTTGTACATACTTATGTGTTGCATCTTGCGAGATCGATATCGCTATATCAAGAGGATATTTAACGAGTTTTTTGAATTTCAGTTGATTGAGGTCTTGTGATTGATCGTAACATGAAGACATGAGATAAGAGGAATTGCAAAGTAAAGTATTACTCATGGAATAATAGGCCAACTTTGAATTAGGCGACGTTGTTATCTTTGAACGAGAAAAGTAGACACTTTTGAAAATATATAAAATATTCCCAATTGGCAGAGGTAAGGAGACGAAAGAGAAAATTAAATGAGACTGAACACTAATTCAAGTCACATTAACATTCAATGAGAATAAACTAGTCTCCTTTCTATTTGAAGATAAAATGAAGATGAAATGAAGGTGAAATGAAGATGAAATGAAGATGAATGACGCTCCGCTGGCCCTCCGGGGGCCACTGCCGTGGAGGCAGACTATATACAAATCGATCAAAAACAAAAGACAAGAGAGTATCTTACTCTATCCCCGGATCTTCATTCTACCTTCTGATTACCTCCCCATTCTGCTGTCTCTCCTGTGTTAAAAAGAAGAAGAACAACAACAATAACAAAAGAATCCACCCACTGCTTCTCCAAACCCTTCTCCAAACAGAAAAACTCCCCTCGCTCCCCCAACCAAGAGAGAGAGATAGACTACAACCCATATTCAATGCGACCTTTCAACAAATCCCCATCATCATCTAAATCCACATCTATCTATCTATCCAAGAACCCATTTCCCCTCTCAAAACACAACACGCACTCCCATCTCCGTCCCGTTCTTATCACGTGACTCTTAATTTTCATTTTTATTTTCATCCTCAACCTCACCCACATTCATTTCCATGCATCCGCACCTAAAAATAACCGCCGGCCATTCATCAACCCTAATCCAACCCAGCAATCCAATCCAATCCAATCCAATCCATTCCATTCCATTCCCAAGCACTTACTCACCTACCCAGTACATCTCCAGCCATCCCCCCCCACCACCACCACAGAATCTCTCCTCCCAAAATATACATGAAACCTTGTTCATTCACTCATTCAATCTTCCATTCGCATTCGCATTGATACTACCTAGGTAGGTATATATCTAGCCAGAAATTTTCATTTTCATTTTCATTTGCTTCAGCTTCAGCTTCACTTCGTAGAAAAGTACTTATTAAGAAAGGATAAAAGAAAGAGTAAAGAACTCTCAACCCGTGTGCTTGTTTCGAGCTTGTGAGTAGGTGAGAGAGAGTTTCGGTTTTGTTGTTGGTTGGTCGGTCGTTTGATGGGTTGATGGGTTGGAGTGTGTAGCAGAGTAGATTGGATTGGATTGGATTGGATTGGATTGGATTGGATTGGATTGGATTGGATTGGATTGGATTGGATTGGATTGGATTGGATTGGATTGGATTGGATTGGATTGGATTGGATTGGATTGGATTGGATTGGATTGGATTGGATTGGATTGGATTGGATTGAATTGAATTGGATTGGATTGAATTGGATTGGATTGAATGGGATTGAATGGGATTGAATTGACTTAGATATCCCACATTCAACTGTACGATACGATAACAAGAAATAGAAATAGAAATAGAAATAGAAATAACACAACAAATAAATAAATAAAAACCCTCTCATCTTACCTCTTGATGCTTACCTCTTACCTCTCACCTCTCACCTCTCACCTCTCACCTCTCACCTCTCACCTCTCACCTCTCACCTCTCACCTCTCACCCAATCTCCATACCTACCGGTACAAGCCTACCTCATATACGCATTG